CCACAACAGATAACATCACCAGTCAACCTTTGCTGATCTTAATAAAGTTAAGCAGGATCCAAGAATAGATTCTCCCAGTGACTTAAAAGTAGAAAGATGAGAAAAAGCCCCAGAATAAGACGAAGGTATTTCTTTTACTTATTGCTGACAATACAAAAACAATGACATGCCAATGTGGTTCTCAGAAGCCAATATTGATTCGATTTTAAAAAAACTTTCCCAATTCAATTTATTATGTGTTCTCAAATTTAATGATGAAAGCCCAACGTCATAAAGAACTAAGTTAAGGAAGAACTGAGTTAAAAAAAGAAACTTACTTTCCATCTGGTGACATATTAATGCCATTGGCACTGTAAAATCCTGATGCTACTTCTTTAACTTTCTTTGGGCTATAGTACACAACATTTGTCCAGCTCAACCCCCAAAATATCTCCACATATACTGAGACAGTCTCTGAATGGAAGTAACGGTCATTGGTGGCATAGAAATGTTCAGGGCCCACAGCGAGAACATCGTTGACACTTTAATGACAAAAATGAAAAATATAAAACATAACATTATACAAATGATGTTGCATTAGTTGCTTTTTAAAATTTCTTATGAATTTTGTGCAATTGCACCCAATTAGGCTCTGTTCGACTTTGCTGTCTGCAGAAAAGTTATTTAAGAGTAAATAATGTTACAAAAGATAAGCATACATAAGGTGTCCAAATGAATATATTCCCCAAAATCCTAAGGGTGAAATTGAGTGTAATAGTCTACAAATGTATAAATGTATCTATACCAGAGATTTATATCCCCTGGTACAAATTATGTTTCTTTGTCTGAGAAAGGTGGTAGATTGTAACATGCCAACAGTAACTTGACAATACTGAATAAGGCATGCATGTTGTGAATATTTCCTTAATGGCCCAAATGTTAGCTTCTCGCTTCTTACTGGGCAATCAGTTAATTCATTCCAGTTCTTTCTGCCCTTTCCTACTCAGCAACATTTGGAAGTTTTGTAACACAACATATTCCTAAGTAATTGTTTTCTGCAACATGTAATTTGCTTAAAGTTCACATTGCAGCTAATAAGGAATCAACTTGATTATTGCTTTATTTTATAATATTTATCAGTTCTACAAACTTTTTGTTTTTGGATTTTTTTGTGCACTCTGCTGAAATGTACTAGCATTAAATCATATTGTATTGAACACCTATTTTTACAGCCTTTATCTTTTTTATGTTTTATTGATTTTATTGCCATTTGTTTGATTGCTGTGAGCTGTCATTATGCATGTATATCACATCATTTCATATTCCTTTCAATCCCCTTTTCCAGTTATTCTCGCTCTCTTTCCAATCACAAACACACATTTAAAATATATTTTTTTCTAATATACCTTGTTAGGAGCTCATTAGTGACAGTTCTTATGTAGAGCAAATACTTTTCATCCTGAAAAAATTTAAATATCTCCACTGCTGACTTGCCTTCTGGATGATTTACCACAAAGAGATATATACTTTCATCTAGAGAAAATGAATATTTCAGCAAAGTTAATGCAATTCACAATAATAACATAAACATATAGTTTTCTAAGAACTCATGTAATAAGCTAAAGTAACTGTTTCGCTGACCTAGTCATCTACTACTATAATGAATATAGACTTTTTTTTCTCTTCATGCTACTCTAAATCTCTTCTATCCCTTGATAGAGATAGAATTACCGACCCTCACCTAGTCATCTATTATTATAATAAATATAGACAATTTCTTCTTTTTTCTTCATGCTACTCTAAATCTCTTATATCCCTTATTAGAGGTAGAACTACAGATGATCAAAATTAAAAAGCTCCCTTAACTTTTTCCTGAAATATGCAGAACTTATTAGCATGCATATCATAATTTTCTGCTGGGTTGCTGGTTGTAAGTCGTAAGTCTAGGCACCTATTTGGCTGGATCTGATGTTATAAAACTTTGGTGGCAATTGTTAAGTGAATAACAGCAGATATTAAGTAATCCATTGTAGTTAATTAAACAAATGTTGCAGCTGTAAATCCAAATTTGTGCTTCTGATTTTTGTTGTTGTTGCTAAAAATGAAAAAAGGCTGCAAATCATAGTCACATGACCATGGAGCATGTTGTAAAGACAAATCAGTTGCTAAGTATCCAAAATTCAATCATATGACCATGGGAGAGTAGAATGATGTTTTACCATGGCCAGAAGTGCATTATGGGTCACAAAGCATCTGTTCCTGGTCCATCTTAATTTCAAACAATTGTTAAGCAATGTGGAAAATTTTGCCTATCCTTTTGGCAAACCCAAGATCATGATTACCAACAAAGGCTAACTCTAATCAACATAATCCACTCAAATTGCAAAGCTAACATGAAGAAAACTAGGGACATGCAAAAAGTTCCCTTACTTACTCCTGTCCATATAAAAACTGATCCCATGTGGATTAAAAGAATCCAGATCAAATCCACCTTCAATCTTTAGTTCAACTGGACGAGGAGTTTCTGCCAGGACATTCATCAGTAATATTTGCCCTCCTTTATGAGGTTCAAAGGTTTTCAAGCCAGGATATTTCAGACCCTTGAAATAGAAATGTAAAAGGAATTTTGGTCCAACGACAATCAATATTCTATCAAAATTGCTGAGATTAAGGATTTCCCTTTTGTTTGGACACCTTTTACCTGAACCACAGCAAAAATGAATGCAAAGTCCAAAGGCGGTTTTGCAATAATTCAGTTGATATTCCAACTAGCTCTTTACCAGATAGTCTAGCTACAAGAGGGCATGTTCTGATAACCTCATATTTAAGTTCCTGTAATGTAATGTAACATAGAGGAATAATTGTTTCCCCTGGATTGTCTTAATTCAGAACAGTGCACAATTCCGCCCCCCCCCTTTTCTGTATGACAACAGTTGTTACTGTAACTGCCAATTAGCAAAGCCTTGATCAATTTTGACTTTCATATGATCACTTTTGGAAAAGAAAGTGATCCCTAAATTATTAGCAACAAATATATTTATATCACATGCAGCAAACTTTGTAAACTATTAGTATTGGGACAGTTTTGACATCTTCTGGCTAGTGAAAAATGCAACCAAAGCCACGTTTGCTCTAAGCATGCTCTCATAATTTATACAAGCTAGTGGAAACAATTACAGTAGAAATCAATGTACCTTATTCTTCTTTTCTTTAGCTCCTCAATAAACATTATCCTTACAAATTATAATTTATTTCTATTATTATTTTACTTTATTTCATCGTATTGTGTGTATAGAAAGAAAATGATCCACAGATTATCATAGTTGCTGAAAATGTGGGTTAATGAAATTCCAGTATTCCTGCTGAACTCCTTTAGTGTCTAATAATTTCTTTACTTGCCCCAAATAAAAGCTGCATTGCCCCAATAGACCATTTTGTCAATACAGCTGGGGCTTAGAGTGAAACACTCCATTCATTAATTATTTGCAGGGGTGACTAATTTGAGGCTTCCAAAACTCTGGGAATTTCTTCTACCAGAGGAATTCGATGCTATCATTTTTAATAGAATAACAGTGTTGAAAGGGACCTTGGAGGTCTTCTAGTCTAACCCCCTGTTCAATCAGGAAACTCTATACCATTTCAGACAAATGGCTGCCAATCTCTTCTTTTTTTAAAAAAAGTCCCGTGATGGAACACCCACAACTTCTGGAGGCAAGCTATTTTAAAACAATAGAAAGAAAAAAATGACAAAACATACACAGAAATAAATAAAATAAAATTTAGCTTTGGCCCCCTGCCTATATATTTATCTTGGCTCCAACCATTGCTTAGAATTCAGCCCCCCCCCCCCCGTGTCATCCAACTCAAGTGCAGAGATGCAATACAGGATACCTCATGATTATCAGAAAACTGAGCCTCACTTAACCCATTCTGACAACCTTAAAAGTTAATCCATAATAAGCACAACTTTTTACATAGGAGGAATTGGAGGGAAATCAAGGCAACCATGACAGCTTACAGAGCTGATGAAAGCCAACCCATTAGGAAGTACATCAATATCTTCTGCACCATTGTCTACAAATGAAAAAAAAAAGAGAGTGTTTATTAGAGATATTTAAATGAAATCCTAATTCAGGGAAGAATATAGTTACAGGTAATCCACAACTGAGCCCAAATTTTATGTTTCTATGAGACAGTCGTTAAGTGAGTTTTGCCCCATTTTGTAGCCTTTGTTGCCACAGTTGTTAAGTGCAGTTGTAAAATTACTAACGTGATTAAGTTAATCTGTCTCTCCCCTTGACTTTGTCACATGACCCCTGGGCAGTGCAATAATCATAAGATGTCAAACAATGGCAAAGCATCTGAATTTTGATCACATGATCATGAGGATGCTGTAATGGTAGTAAGTCACTTTTTTCTGTGCTTTGTAACTTTGAATGGCCATTCACTGAACTGTTTTAAGTTGAGAACTAGCTGTACTGAAACCAGAGCAGTCCATGAGTATCACTCTCTGACTATAGGACTAAGTACCACTTCTACCTGGTTTTATACAACCTTTCCTTTACTGTCTCCCTCACAAAGTTGTGACTGCAAGACATCCTTTGTGTAAGACATTATAGGAGAGATGGATCATTAGATTGTGCAATAAACAGCCTTACAGCGAAATCTTTGCAACACTCCATTTAAAGATTTCTTAAGAGCAGGATCCTTGGGCTGACATCCATTTGAGAAAGAAAAAAACAGTCAATTAAAGTAGCTGATCTTGTCCAGTCTTTTCAAGAATATCTCAGCCTGCCCTCCTAAATTAATCATTCCTGTGCTGCAAGAAAAGCTTCATTCTTTTGAAAAGTGGTTTTTTTTTAAATCTGTAGAACGAGAACGAGCTACCAAAGGTAAGTTTCCTTTTCTGTAACTAAAGGCTACAAAAATTCTGTTGCTATGGAAATCCTGCAGAATAAAGAAAGGCCACAAGGAATTCGTTTAATCTTTGTCTGAGAAGGATTCATTTTCTGAAGCCCTGTTTCATCTTTCTAAGGTTGTGCTTGTTTTGAATTGATGCTTGAATGACATAGAAGTCATTTATTCTGTGCAGACTCTTGTGATTGATGACCTTTCCTAGGGGCTTCCAGTCAGCGAAGTCAATGGAAAGCTGGATTCACTTAACAAACATGTAAATCACTTAATGACCACAGCAAAAAATTGTAAAATCAGCTGTGTGACTCACTTAATGAGTGCATCAATTAATGACAGAAGTTCCAGTCCCAATTATGGTCATAAATCAAAGGCTACTTGTACTTTATAAGCCACAGGCTTCTACATACCAGAGTAGCAGAGGCTGGCAGAGTTCATTTCATATTTCCAATTCCTGAAGTGCTAGATAAGCACTGATTGAAACAATATGAACTCGGAAAGTGGTTTGCTGAATGTTAGTTTAGTGTTATGTAGACATTTAGTTGAACAAACCATTGGCCTGATTTGTATGTAATTCCTGGCTTAGCATCTTCAAATTGAAGATTGATTTCAGAGAATTGATTACAAATCTTAGTCAGTCAGAAAGCTCATAGAGCAAGGGTCTTCAAACTTGGCAAGTTTAAGACTTGTGGACTTCAACTCCCAGAATTCCTGAGCTAAAATGACTGGAGGAGGAATTCTGGGAGTTGAAGTCCACAAGTCTTAAAGCTGTCAAGTTTGAAGACCACTGTTTATGGTGGTGTATGATGTATGCTTTGCCTAATATTTCTAAATGATAGTTAAGAAAAAATATTGGTGGGAGATGTTTCCCCTGCATTTTACTCTTTTCTCTGCACAGAAATCTTTGAATTAAAAAATAGGAAACATCTAACTGTATAGAAAGTAGAACAACTATATGATTTCCTTGGCAAATATATTACCAGCTATTGGTGAATGTTCCCTGCACATATGCACAATTATTCTGCATAAGGAACAATAAATAAACATGCCACAGACTTACCAATTCCTGGAATGAGATGACAGTTAGGAAGGCGCTTGGGAGGCAATTCTCGGTCAGCAAACAGCTTCTTCCTGCAAGGAGAAGCAGTAAACATAACAATATGCTAAATAAAATGGACAAATAAAATTGGACAATGTACCTCACAGCAAATATAAAACTAATTTTATTGAATTGGCTGTAATGACAGAATCTTGCAAGTTTTGTGCTGTATCTCCTCCTCCTCTTCCAGTTCAGTGATTTAGGGAAGCATTTGCTTGAATCACTTGAAGCAGAGGGATAAAACTAGATTTGTCCCATGTTGAGTAAGTCTCAGCTCTGCTTTCTCCTTATATGGGAAAAAAAACAAAGTAATCTTATGCATAGAATTCTATTCATTAAATTAAAATCAAACAGATTAAAATATTCAGAATAAAAAAAAACCAAACAGAAAGTTCACTAATGGTCAATAACATTGTATATGATTAGTATACAAGGAAAGGGGATAAAAGCATGAAGGCTCTTAGTATTAGCATTAACATTACAAATTAAACCCATTGTAATTCTCAACAAAAGTTCATTTTGCTCTTTTGCTAGGGCTCCCTCTGTGGCAAAAATAAAAAAGAATTAAAGGAGGTTTTTTTAAAACAATTTTGAAAGTTAATTTCAGCCAAACCAAACAGTGAAGCAATATGTTTCTGATTTTTTTTTTGTACTTTAGTACAGACTAACCTTTGCTATTTTTTTAAATGATATTTTTATATTTGCTTCCTATGATTACACACTGGGGTTGCCAATTAATGCTCTCTGCCTAATAATGTAGGCAGTCTCTGAAATTTTTGCTATAATCTACAACAATAGGCATTTGCTTTCTGAGTGACTTGGCTTTTGATTGTGACAAATGTGCATTGATCTCTTTTGCTCCTTGCTTCCCTTATATATGCAATATTGGTAGTACAGTGGTGTATTAAAGAAAAAATTGTATCTGGAGATGGAAGAAAAGGAAATATATTTATGAAAGACCTCAGGCTCTATATTTTTGCAGGGCATTCAGCTGGGGAAATATCAAGATTGCATTTAGCTTCACAGATATTTGGCTCCTTTCCTTTACATACCTGTCACCAATCCATAAGATAGAATGTTTTGTTTATTTTTCCCAACACAAGCTGGGAAGAAAACTTTTTAACTGTCAGTTTTAAGTTTGGTTTTTGGGAAGGAAGGGCACAAAAACAACCCCACAATTATATGATGCTGTAATTGGGGGGACATAACAATTTGCAAGCAATTGACATCTTAACCCTGAGTTCATGTCACCAAATCTGTAATTGAAGACATGCTCCCCCAGAAATGGCAGCCTTGTGCTTGAAAATGTTCTCTTGGTCTCAGGGGAAGGAAGGCCTGTCTTAGTCTCTCTTCCAGATCCGGAGATCTTGCTCTAGTTGCAAACCAGCATGAACAGAGAAAGGAATCCAAATTCTGGAAGATAGCTGAGATTTGCAACAATGGTTAGCAAAGAAATATTGGGAAAACTTGTTCTTTAGATTTTGTACGTTTGTGGTGAGTTTTTGTGTGTGTGTCTGTGTGTAAAAGGCACTCATGGAGGCAGGAGTCTGAAGAGGTAGGTTAAGGCAGTTTTTGGCAAGTGAGTACTACTAGACTACTACTAGTAGGGAGCGTGCATAAGCGCACCAACATGCCTACAGTCCCTGTCTTATTGTTTCTTTTATTTTTTTTATTTTTCTTATACCATATGTATCCATGTATTCATAACTATGTTTTTTACTTATACCTATTATCTTGTAAGCAATTGACAATAAATAAATAAATAAATAAATAAAAATAGACTAACAGGTTTTCTATGCTCAGCTACTGGTCAGAAAGCTATTAGCTGGCAGCTTTTCTTAAGTTCAACACATCAGCAATTTTAAGATGTTTTTACTTTAACTTCCAGAATTCCTTAGCCAGCATTGGCTGGGGAATTCTGGGAGTTGAAGTCTATTTGTCTTAAAGATGCTAAGGTATTGACAAACATTGCTAAACAATCATGTTATCAATTCTGTACTCCTAGCGTTCCGATATCTGAATATATCTGTGAGCACATCCCAGATCAATCTCAAAGGCATTTTAAACTGGATTCAAGGGATTAAGAGAAACAGAGGTGGTATTCAGCAGGTTCTGACCAGTTCTGGAGAACTGGTAGCGGAAATTTTGAGTAGTTCAGAGAACCAGCAAATACCACCTCTGATTGGAGATTTTACAGTGTCTTTCCGTTGCCACACCCATCAAGCCATGCCCTCAAAACCAGTAGTAAAAAAAATTGAATCCCACCACAGAAAGACTGATTCTCTGAAAAAGGCCCTACTGTATTAAGCTATTTTTTATAACCTGTATTCACAAAACTTTAAACAGCAAAATAAAATCCTTTAAATACATAAAAGTTAGGATGCTGTTTGCTGTTCAAGCATTGTTAATGTTAAATTACTACAAAGAGTGTCATCTATAAATTTACATGAAAGCTACAGAAGTCCTCTGCTAATTAGCTGCTAATAAGCAAAGTGGTATGTGTTGTAAGTACAAACAATTTAAAAGTTCACTTTTAATTTTATCCTTCCACTAGCTATAGATGGAATGCTACATTTCAAAAGCTTCTCCCCCATCATCTCCTTAGTTTAGGCCAGGGGTCTTCAAACTTGACAATTTTAAGACTTGTGGACTTCAACTCCCAGAATTCCTCCTCTAGTCATGTTAGCTCAGGAATTCTGGGAGTTGAAGCCCACAAGTCTTAAACTTGCCAAGTTTGAAAATCTTTTGTGTAGGCTAAAACAGCTTTTCCTCACTGTCTATCTTCCCTATTTGTTAGACTAAATCTCCCATTATCCCCAGCCAAAACCATTATCTGGACAGAAAAACCTGCTCTTCTGGCTTAGTTGTACAGTTAAAAACTGCAAGCCACTCCTCCTTGTATGCTAATAACAATACCCCACTCTGGGCAATAGGGCTTATGACAGCTGAAGCCCAACCCATATAGAAAGTAAAGATGGGAAATGCCAGCTATTCCACTCTGATAAATGAAATAGCACAAGGAGAAACACATATCAATAAACCACATCTGTAGCAGCCTTGTATGTTCAGGGTTGTGCTTGCATGAGAGTGTATGTCTGTTTTTTTCCTCATTTGATAGACAATCTCGCTGGATCGTCTAGTGGAGATCAGCCTGGATAGAAAAGAAAATTACATTAGCAATTGATTTTTCAATAATCATGCATGCATTAAGCCTTTCTGCCAAGATAGCAAGGATTTCAATAATTACTGCCTTATAAACTTGTGCAAAACATGCATATATTTTATTAGTCATAAACAAAAACTTGTTAATTTCAGACTCATTTTTGCATAGGCACTAAATATTTTTTGCTTATTAAGGAACAAAATTCTGAAACAGCCAACATAGTCTGGTTAAAGTACTAAAACAGATAAGGAGCTCACCAAGAGTCCAGAACGGACTGGTCCTCTCCACCAAATCCAGGGAAGAAGTTGGGGAAAGAATAATTCACAAAGGAAAAGCAAAACATAAATATAATACTGAATTATGCTATTAAAAGTCACACTCTTGAGCTGGCTGCAGCAGTAAGGATGGGATACATTGAAACCACCTCTCAGAACCACTCAAGGAAAAAAAAAAACTACAAAATTCACCCAACATCAAGACACTGTTGCTAAATAAAAGGCACTTCCATGCTGCTATTGTTTGTCCAGCCCAATTCCTGAAAAGCAAACTGAAAACAATTCCTTGGTCTTCATTTCTACCAAAGTCAAAATGTGAAAAGAAGCAAAGAACACTACACAAGCAATTCCCCACCTGAAATGCTATGGAAACAAAACTGCTGTGGTTAAAAAAACCAAACCCCTGAAAACATAAAATGGTTTCTGTGCTTACCCCACCTGCAGTCTTAGACACAGGTACAGCGTCTACAATGGGATGCTGCAAGAGTGATGCAAGACCGTCTATAATTGGGGAAATGGACCCCATACAGCCCAGTGTTTCAAATAAAAAAGCAGCTTTGCCATAGTTTCAAATACACCTGTTTGTGTGATGCATTGCTAGGGTGATATGAATAGCCAACAATTCTTATTACTATGATATATACAAATATGTGAAATCACAGCTAAAACCAGTTCTTTAATCAGATGGGCTTTCATAGTCATTAAGTTCTTCTCAACCTAAAATGCGTTGGTATAATTAATATATGTTAATGTTGCAAAACATCACTCTAGATGGCTACAGGAACTGCAATTAGAAGGCTGCATTAAAATGATGGATTGCGCAGAACTAAATCCAAACTCGCTGGACACCTTTAGATTTTATTTCTCATTAACAAACAACCCCACAAAGTCAAAGAATAAATATTAGAACCAAGTGAAGAAAACGGTTCCACCTGTCTTGCCGTCCTGGAGGAAAAATCCTAATTACAAAGAAAAAGAAAAGGCGGCGGCGTTTGTTCCAAGCCACTTAGTAATTTCACAGCAAGCATTACACCGCATTATTGTAGAGTTTTATCTTAATTTCTAAGTAAATAAGCACAGAATGCACAAAAACAAGAAACGCGCACAGGAACGAGAACTCTCAACTGAATGTGTCGAAGGTTACCCTTGCCTCTTGTATTCAAACAGGTTGCAGCGCTAAAGAGAAAGAGTGACAGAAAAAAAAATGACACGCAATCGTATACCTGCTCGAGTAAAACGGGTGAAAATCGCCGAAATTGCCACGTAGGATCGCGCGGTGTCTAGATAATTTCGTGCTGAAGCAAACCGGTTAAAACCGATGCCGTACTTACCGAAACACTATCAGCCTTTCCACGAACAAGGCGCAAAAGACAATGAAGACTGTTATCAACAGCAACAGCTTCCCCATGGTGCAGCCTGATTTCGGTACCCACGAGCCGAAGAGCTCCGTGGAGAAATGTGGTCCTGATGCTCTCGGCTTGGCTTGATATTGAAGAACCAACTACGGAGCGCCTCCCTCAGGAGTGACACTTCGAGGTAAACTCCCAATGTCACCCTTCTACACCAATCACCACCGGAGCTGGAGAGGCTGGGGAGGATGCTAAAAAGTTTCCTAGAACAGCTGCTTTCTCTAAGGTAAGGTAAATAGGAAGACCTCGAATCATGGAGCTCAGACTCCTGGCAACATACTGACGCAGTTTTCTTAGAAACAACAGCTTCCCTTTATCTTCTACTGGGAGATATTTCTCCCAGTCCCCGATTTCCCAGTCTAGTTTGAGGCTGTAGGATTCACTTTTCACACTAAACAAAAAATTCAGAACAAAGATATTCTATCCTATTTGCTAGAATGTGCTGCAGCCTTCAAGGCTGCCTCTGTAGACATCGAGGTCCAGTCAAGATGATCTCCCAAAGTCCCACGTACAGAGACAGTTAGGCTGGCAACCGAAATGTCCCTCATGAAAATCTCTTTACCACAATGATAATTCTGGTACGAAAGGGGGAAGAATGGAAAAAAAACAAACTTCTCTAATAATTGATTTTCTAGGATGCTGGGTATTGCAACTACTTGGGTTTTTGTTTTGTTTTCCAGGGCAGGTGAGCACTTTTCAAAAGGAGGACTTAGCTGCAGCCATCTTACTCTCCAAATCATTAAAAAAAGCACAGGAATTGCAATGTTTGTGGAATAACAACTTCCCATCTTGTTATTTTTCATTTAAGCAATCTTAAAAATTAATTTGAGGCAGTGCAGGGATCTTGCTGGGTGCTGAGGAAGGGGATTTGACACTGGATTACATTTTAGGGGATGCAAAAGAATTCCCTGCAGAGTATTCGCTCAAAAAGGATGATATAGTTTATAAGTAAAATCCAATAAGTAGCTAATAATAATAATATAATACAATATGCATATTTATGTAATATAAACTTTAATAATGTATTTAGAAGGGAAGGATTGTTGATATTGTGCACAAGAAGATTTGTACCGACTGACACACTGTTCAATGGAAAGAAGGTTTTATGTTTTGTGTTTATGTTTATGCTTGTTTATGTTTGTTGTTAAAAATAAATATATATATATATATATAAAGAATTCCCTGCAGAATCTTGGCCTGTAACAGTCCTGCCCTGCTTGCATTTAACCAACACATAAACCAGTCCAAGGAACATAATTTTTCATGTCTCCTTGTGATCATATTACTGTCATCTCATTCACAGACCATAAGCCAGGAAATTTTGAATTGTGCTTAATTGTAATTCCCCTTTACAGACGGTCCTCCACTTACAATCACAATTATGCCCAAAATTTCTGTTGCTAAGTGATATAGTTGTTAAGTGAATTGTGTTCCATTTTACAACCTTTCTTGCCACTGTGGTTAAGTTAGTAACACGATTGTTAAGTGAATCTGGCTTCCCCATTGACTTTGCTTGTCACACAAGGTGTTCTCATGACACTGGCACACTGCAACTGTCCCAACTACGCGTCACTTGCCAAACATCTGGGTTTTGATCATGTATCCATAGAGATGCTACAACAGTCATAAACGTGAAAAAAAAGGTCATATCTCTTTTTTTCAGGGCCATTGAAACTTTGAATTGTCACTAAAGAAACTGTTGTAAGTTGAGGACTAACTGTATTTTGTACCACTCACTGCAGTGGCCTAGCAAATAAGACATTGTGCTTGTTGACCAGAAGGTTGACAGTTCAAGACCCCAGTACTGCATGACAGGGTGAGCTCCCATTCCTTCCCCAGTTTCTGCTCTCCTAGCAGTTTGGTTGGAAAGAAGACAGCCTTCTATGGATCTCAGAGTATAGCCATGTTGGCCACTTGACCATGGAAGTGTTTTCAGACACCAATGCAGAGGTAGTATTCAGCAGGTTCTGACCAGTTCGGGAGAACCGTTAGCGGAAATTTTGAGTAGTTCGGAGAACTGGCAAATACCGCCTCTGACTGGCCCCGCCCCTGCTCTATTCTTTGCCTCCCGAGTCCCAGCTAATTGGCTGGGTCTTCTTTTGTTGCCCTGCACAGGAGAATGGAGTTGGAAAGCAGGTTAGTGGGGTGGGGAGAAAATTGAAATTTTACAGTATCCTTCCCTTGCCATGCCCACCAAGCCATGCCCACAGAACTGGTAGTAAAAATTTTTTGAATCCCACCACTGCACCAATGGACTTCCCCAATTAAAAAATGGAGATGTGCATGATTGGACATGATTAAACAAGGAAACCTTTACCTTTACCCAGGTAGTCCTTGACTTATGATCCTAAGATTCCTGTTGTTAAGTGAGACATTTGTTAAGTGAGTTTTGCCCCAGTTTTACAACCTTTCTTCCATGGTTGTTAAGTGAATCATTGCAGGTGATAAGTTAGTAACCCGGTTGTTAAGCGAATCTGGCTTTCTGACTTTGCTTGTCAGAAGGTTGCAAAAGGGGGTCAGATGACCTTGGGGAACAGCAACGGTCATAAATATGAACCAGTTGCCAAGCCTCTGACTTTTGATCACATGATCATGGGGATGCTGCAAAGGTCGTAACTGTGAAAAATGGTCATAAGTCACTTTTTAGTGCTGTTGTAACTTTGAACAGTCACTAAATGAACTGTTGTAAGTCACGGACTACCTGTATCTTTTTTTCTATTCATTACCTTGGATGGAAGGTAAGTCGGTCAACAGGAAGCAGCAGTTTTCAAGCCATTATCATTTTCTATTATCTTAGGAATGGTTTGGTAGCATTTCAGCTTAGCAGTGAGAAAAGGGTCCAGAAAACAACTAGAGGTGGGCCTAGAACAACTCGCCATGGCCAACTCACCATGGCCAATTCATTGCAGCCAACTGCCCCGGCCAATTCGTTGCAAGACAGCTTGCCATGGCCAACTACCATGGCAGAACTCGTTGGGGGATAAGAGTTTCCCTAACACCAAAAAAATAATGAAATAGAATCATTAAAGAAAGGAAAGGGAGGACAAAATGAAATGTGAATGACAAAAATTAAAATATTTTAAAAATTATTTTAAGTCATTGAATTGAATGGTTGAATTCTCCCATGGTGAATTTTTCTGTGGCAAATTGGCCATGGCAAGTTGTTCCACGGTGAGTTGACATATGGTGAATTGGCTGTGGTGAGTTGTCTCATTCCACCTGGAAGCTGCCATCTGATTTACTGTAATTGCTTCCATCTCAAAATTAGGTTGTTAGGTGGGAATGGGGAGTGGGTGGGTGGGGGGAGAATACTTTGAGAATTTAAACGTTTTCCTAAGTGGGAGAAAGAGGGAAGAAAATTCCAGCAAAGCAAAAAAAAAAAAATGTTCTTCAGTATGTACAATTGTTAGAAATTGTTAGAAATCTAGCCAATGAATAGTTCCCTTAATCCAAAGGGCACATAGTGTCTGTTATCTTGTATGCTTTATCTATTTATCTCAGTGCATTATTTTTATGATAACTCTGTAAGGAAGGTTTTGGTAAGCAGGTTTTTTTTTTAAATGACTCAGCAAGACCTTGAACCAGGAGTTTTAGTACTCAGTCCCATACTGTCCATAAAATGTTTCTTAAGTGAAACTTTTATGGCCTAGTCAAAAGAATTTAAAACAATTTAATGATGAGGTCAACTGCAATGTAACTCTCAGGAGGGAAAGTAAATTCAGGTAGTCCTTAACTTATGACCACAACTGAGCATTAATATTGCTAAATTGGACAGTTGTTAAGTGAGTTTTGCCCCATTTTACAACCTTTCTTGCCACAGTTGTTAAGTGAATCACTGCAGTTGTAAAGTATCATGGTTGTTAAGTGAATCTGGCTTCCCCATTGAGTTTGCTTGTCAGAAGGTCGCGAAAATTGATCACACGATCCCAGGAAACTGCAACTGTCATAACTATGAGTCAGCTGCCAAATGTCTGAATTTTGATCACATGACCAAGGGAATGCTGTAACGGTCATAAGTGTGAAAAATGGTCTTAAGCAGAGACGTTATTCAGCAGGTTCTGACCAGTTCTGGAGAACTGGTGGCGGAAATTTTGAGTAGTTCAGAGAACCGGCAAATACCACCTCTAATTGGATATTTTACAGTATCCTTTCCTGCCACGCCCACCAAGCCACACCCACAGAACCGGTAGTAAAAAAAATTGAATTCCACCACTGGTCATAAGTCACTTTTTTCAGTGATGTTGTAACTTTGAATGGTCACTAAATGAACAAGGAATAGCTGTACAGCTTTTTGGTTACATGAATTTAGCTACTTCACACATGGCTTAATATGATACAGGCAACATTCATGGTTGGTATTAAAGGTTCAAGTCCCTTTCCTTTCAGTTAGTTCATTTATTTACAAAGAAATAGGTGAGATGTATTTCTGCAGGTAAATCAGCCTTTTGAGAGCTGATGGTTGTCAGAAGAGTTCCATGATATACATGTTCTAGTCTAAGAGTTTTGCAATGCTTTTTTTGCAGACGAAATCATTAATTAGTTTAAGGCACTAATCTTACCATCTTATGCATTTAATTTATGATTCAATATTTTATGCAAATCCAGGGCGTTGGATTCATTGGACAACAGGTGAACCAGTTAACTGTGTTGTGCAAGTCTTTCTGAGTTTCCACCCAGCCTATTTTGCAGTGTAACTGGAAAGTTTACAATAGCAAGATTCCCTCCCCCAAACCCTTATCTGAGTACCCACTTCCATGAAGGTAGCTTGTCCTAGGGACTTGCTTTTAGAACAGTGTGTATTAGATAGTGCTGTAAATATTAGATACACATGAAACAAAAAAATGATGGTTGATCTTTCAGCTGGTACAAAATGAGCATGTTCAAATAAATTCATATTCTAGTATTTCATAGGATTCATGACAGAATGTTCAAATTAAACAATTTGGGATCACAAACTATCATAGAATTGAGAAAATATGCTTCCTTTTATAAAGAATGGAAAAATATTTGCCCTTTTAAATAACTAAAAAGGCTGAAGAAATGTAATTTCTCCTTATTTCTGTGCAAGAAAGCTACTTGCTGCCCTTTTCCA